GAGCTGGGGCAGGGGTTAGAGTCAGGAGGAGCCCACTGGAGAGTCTTAGCTCTGCAACACAAGGGAAAGAAAGAAAAGAAAGGCAGCAAGCAAGTGAGCCAGTCCAGGGAATTCTTCACATCATCCATTTAGATGATGCACACCATTTACATGCTGTGTGCCCAGCCCTGGGCTGGGGCGCAGAGAGGAGACACCCTGGCCCTGCCCTCAAGGAGACCATCAGGCCAGCAGTGGAGGCCAAAGACTGTACGTAGGTGGAACACATGCTACCAGGAGATGCAGGTGGCTTATGGAGCAAAGGGGTAGTGTCACCGTGGCCATTCACATACCCAGTTTGGGCCATATGTCCTCACCGCAGCTCCTCACAGAACTCAGTTCATGCCACCTGGCTGGGTGTTCCAGGGCCTGCAGAACCCAGCCATGGCGACCTCATTGGCTGGGCAGAGTCCGATCCTAGCTCTCATTCACCCCTACAGCCAGTTTCTCCTCACACGGCTCCCTCTGCCTGGAATGCCCTCTCTTTCCCTACTCCCTTTCTGCGTGTCAGAACCCTGCATGTCTTTAAGCAGGGCCTAGTTAAAGTTGTTACAACTTTAGCTAACATTTAATGAGCCCTTCCCTGGGTGCCAGCCCTGCTCTTGGCACTTCACACCTCTTCTCTCTTTAAACTCCCCCAGTCCTAGGACTGCTGCCTGCCTGTGCCGCCTGGCAAGCCTGCTAGAGGGGCTCAGGCCCTGGCTGCTCATGCCCGGTGGTTCCCCCTAGAATGGAGGTCTGAGAGTGGGGGCTCTGGCTCACAGCTCTTAGGAGCCACGTCACCACGGAGCCTCCCTGTGTCTCACTCAGTGCCTTGTCTATTGAATGGGGATGACAGCGCCACAGTGCCGTGGGGAAGACGGAGGGAAGCTTGTGGAACTTTAGAACTTAGGGCTTGACACATGGTAGGTGCTCAGGGAACAGGAGTCAACAGCATGTTTGCAACAGCACTTCCCCCATAAAACAACTTCCCCATGCCCCCTCCCCAAGGCATTTCACCCAAGGACTATTTGAGTGTCTACTGCGCACCAGCCACTGGCTAGCTGTACAGGGCAACTTCTGTTACACCAATGCCTGGAACTTCTGCTTCTTTTTGCAAATAAGCCAGAACCTCGTGCTCATTTATACTGCTTATTGTGTGTATGGGATTGCCTGGGTCCCATCCGGAGCAGAGTGAACCAAATCCAGCCTTCTAAAGGTCAACCTAAGAGCCCTTATAATCACAAGGGGGCAGAAAACCAGTCAGAGAGCAGGATGGACAGGTTCTGCCGCCCCCTGGTGGTGGTGTGCTCTCACTACGAGCAACCCTCTATCTTACATAGGCTGGGGAGGGTAAAGGGTGTTGAGGTCAGAATTCTCCCTTCTGGAGGTGCACCATGTGCAAATTTAGGCTTTCCTTTGACAGGCATGGTCTCAGCTGTTAGCCTAGAAAGCCATCATCTGTTGGGGTCCTAGCTACCTTTCTGGGCCCCTTGGGATGGCCCCAAGTCCTCACATCTGTCCTCCACTCTAATGCGAGCTGGGGGTGAGGGAGGATCTGATTGGGCTAAACTGACCCAGGATGTGCAGGTCTGAGCCCGCCCTGGACACCTACAGCCAGATGGCTGCAGGGCCGATTTCTTCCACCCGGGCCAGCCCCCATCCCCTCAGGGACTGAAGCCCAGCCTCAAGTGGGCCATCACTGGGCTACATCTATTCTCAATCAAAACATCACAATATGCCCCACTGCTCTCCTGGTCTCCATCTTCTCCCACTGGCTCAGCCTGGCCACTGCAGCTAAATCCAGGCTCCTCTGCTCCCTAAATAAAACTTTCCCTCCAGAATCCTCCCTACCAAGACTCTATTCCCTTACCACTGCCTGGCTTCCCAAGCACAAGCCCCTGAAGACCCACCCCACAACACGTCTTCCTGAACACCTTCACTGACCTGGCTTGCTCTGCCTGGCATTCGGCTGACCCACCCCTGACAGACACCTGATTGCTGCATGACAAGGGCTCAGGGCTGCATTGGCCTAGGTGAAGGGGAGCCCTCTTAGAAATCCATGTCCTAAGAGGGATGTAGCTCTCTGCTTTGCACCATGGTGCCATGTAGGCAGGCGCTGCTCCATAGTCTCTGAGTGCCCGTGGTGCTGAGACTGTTCTCCCAGGCCGGGCACAGCATCTGACTCATGCTGTATCTATTCTATTTGTTTCTTTTTTGCTACTGAACGCACGTGTGGGATCTGGGCTGGCCCAAGACTGCACTGGCCTCCCCTGCAGGAAAAGGACAGATGTGGCCCTTGCTCTCCTAGGTTCAGAGCTCATGCAGCCTCCCCAGAGAGTCAGTTCCTCCCCCAGGTAGCTGCCCCTTACCCTTCATGTCATTCTCTCCCTGCAGCCCCTTGACGCAACCCTCATCTCCCCAGGGCCAGAATGGGTGACAAAGAGCACACAAGTCTACCAAAGATGGTGTCACATCAGGGGCCTCTTCTTTTCCTGACTGAGCCAAAGGGATCTGGCAGCTGCCACAGGACCCTGCAGATTTCAGGGCAGATGCATGTTCTCAGTCTTAGCCTAGGAGTCCCCTCTGCCCCCAGAGAAAGGCTGGATTCCAGGCAAAGTCCTAAGCAAGGTGGACACATGCTCTAGGAATGCTCCAGTGTGCATCTGGAGTGTTCCAACCAACAGGCGCCACACATCAGCCTCAGTCTCTCTTACACCAGGTGTGGCATCTTGGTGAATTTCATATTTGCACTGAGAAGTTTGTCCTCTATGGAAGTAGCTGCTCCCTCCACCTGGAGTCACCCTGCTCCACCACTCTGAGGTCCCTGTATGGGCAGCTTCCCCCTACCAGTGAGGCACTTGACTGTTTGAGGAAATGCTCAGTAATGAAGCTGGATCTGGATAAGAAGGTCAGTTTGAGTCAGTGCCTTCTGAACTCCATAACATGAGGACCCCACACTGTGAGGGGCGTTTTCTCACAGGCTGCTGATGACTCCTGACATGCGGCCCCGAAGCCCCCAACACCTCTCGGCAGCCACAGAAGACCAAGGCCCCAGAGAGTTGCCCTAGGACCCGGGGCTGAGCGGGGACCTCCCAAGCGTAGGGCAAAGGGGTACTGGTACTGGCGAAAGGCTCTGAGACCATCACCCAGGCAGATTCTACCACGAGTGTTGCCACTGTCACCACTGTTTCGATCACTCTGATGCCAGCTTGAACCTCAGCCTCACCTGCGGGATGAGCACATCAAGCCCAGAGTGACCGTGCACAGCCTGTCCTTGGATGCTGGCAGACAGAAGGAGCTTAGGGGGCTGAGGGGATTAGAGAGGCCTTGCCAGCTCCCCCGCCCAGGGGAACTGTCCCTGTGGCCCGGCTAGGGCAACGGTGCTGGCTGGGGAGGGTGGGGATTAACCGACCTACCACTCCTCGAGTTTCAGGCCTGATACCACCAGCACTTAGTGAAGATCGATCAATTAAAACCTCAGATCAAACTCTGCCAAATATTATCTGTGTGCCATTGGGCAAGTCAATTAACCTCTGAACCCCAGAAAAAAGGGGAGAGCACGACCAGCCGCAGCACCACCAGGGATTTGCTGTGGACATTAAACAACACATGCAGAGTTTCAGGTAAAGATTTTAGAAGGGTCAGCGTCCTGCCCTTCCTTGGCTCGAAAAGAACCTCATTATCTCCTTTGATTCTTCTGTCTGAATGTGAAGTAGTAAATACTAACATCCATGAGCATTGCTCTGGGCTTGCTCTGGGTTAAGGCCAGTTTGAGGTCCAAGCTCTTCACATACATTATAGGGCTGAACCTGCAGATGGGGTGGGGGTGGGGACCCTTCCATGGTATTACACCCTGGAGGAACCCAAGGCTCACAGAGGGGAGCGGCTGGGTGCAGGCAGCAGAACTGGTGGCTTACTGGGTCCTGGTGAGACCCCTGGTGTGCGTGTTTGGGGGAGTGGGGATGAGTACCGTGCAGGGCTTCAGAAGAGGTCCTCACAGCCTCCTGAGAGGATGCAGGGGCCTGGGACTGACTCCTGTGAGGAGAAGGGAAAAGGCCTGACAGCCATGGGGACACAAGCCCTGGGAAGAGCTGAGGAGCCAGGTGACCCCGCTTTGCAGAAACCTTGTACTCTGGCTGAAGGGTGGAAAGGCAGGACACCCCCGATCAGGATCACGAAGCCCCAGATCAGCTCTGGTTACGTGACCGACCTACTGCGGGAACTCTGCGACCAATAACCCGGGTTTCTGGACCCTGGAGATGGGCAAGGAAGCCCTCGGGATTAGCCTTCGGGGGATGAGTGGGCTCAGCGCCTTGTCTAACCAGCCGACGGTCCTGGCCTGCGGAGGTCTTGGCCTCCGCGAGATTGGAGGAAGGCTGTGGGGGGGCTCGCAGAAAGCAAGGCCCCTCATCCGCAGACCCAGCTGCTCCCCAAACCCGGCCTGGAGCCCGTAAGAATTTGGGGAGGGGGTGGCCTGGGGGCCTTGAAGGGCCTGCTCGGCAGCCCGAGTGGGGGGACCAAGACCCCCAGTGTGCGGGAGACGGGGTTTGGGGGATGCTCACAGGTCGGGGACTTACCCGCAAACAGCCAGAGGGAGCCTCCCGAGACGAGGAAGAAGGTCAGCATGTCTGTGAGCGGGGCTGGCCCGGCCCGGCACGGCCTCCGGCCCGCAGCCCCGCAGCCCCGCAGCCCCGCAGCCCCACCGCCCGAGCAGTCGCGCCGCCGCCGCCGGGTATTTTTAGCCCCCGCCCCCCGCTCCGCAGCCCCCCCCCTTCCCCGCGCCGTTGCGGAGGTTCGGCGGGAGGCGGCGGCGCGAGCCGGGCGCAGGAACCCCTGCCAACCCCGCAGCCGCCGGGTCTGGGGCGCCCCCCGCGAGCGAGCCGCGTCAGAACCGCCCCGGCCTCGGCGGGGGAGGGGCTCGGCCCAGCGCCGACCGGCCCCCCCACCCCACCTTGCCCCCGGCCCCCAACGTCAGGCCCCGGCGTTCCGGGGAAACCTGCAGGACAGGAGCGCGCTGGCAGCCAGCGCGGAGCCGCGTCGCGGCGCCCCCCACCCTTGGCGGCCCCTACCCTGCGCGACCCTGGGTTTTATGGCTGGGCACGCTTGGGTGGCAGAGGGGTCGCGGCCACCCATCTTAAGAGGAGGCACACATGCTTGTGGGCCGGTCCCCGCTGAGGCTGCCGGCCCCTGGGACCCAAGTCTGCAGGCACACGGAGCCTCTGGGTGCCAAGGGTGCCGGCCAGCGAGGAGAGAGAGGAGGATTAGGCTCTATCTAGGTTCTGACGGCGGTGCAGCTTGGCCCGAATATGCCCAAATCCTCTGGGGTCTCCAGACCTCAGATCTCCCCTTCTGAGAAGATGGGACCACCCAAGGTCACAGGAGGCCCTGTGTGGTCACAGGCTGCCACGTGGGGTCACACGAGGTCAGGGAAGTCTCATGCGGATCACATGGAGTCATAGAATCTCAGGACAGAGGCCATTATATTCATACACAACCATGTGTGGCACATGAAGTCTCAACAAGCCCCTCAGAGCTGCAGTGAGTGGCCACACAGCCACCCACATCTGGATGATCACACTGCTGGCTGAGGGGTTGGACACCTTCTGTTCCAGTGTCTGGGATTGAAAGGAGGAAGCCCAGTTGCACATTCTTCTAAAAGAGTAAGTAGATATTCTGGTGGCCCCGAAGGACACTGGCACCTGGATTTCAAAGTCTCCTCTCACTCTTGCTTGGTCTTAACTGTGCATCTCCCAGCAGGCCTCCAGCACCGAGGACAGCGCTCAGGCAGCCCGACCCTGGCTCTATACCTGCTGCTCTCCCAGGCCTGGCCCCAGCTGGCCCAGGAACAAGAGGGTAGGAAACCAGAGAGCAGAGGTGAGGCAGCAGAGGGTGGAAGAGCCAGGGGCCTCCTGGGAGCCGCTGGAGACCACCTACCCTCTGCACATGTGCTTACAGCTCAGTGACTGGGGAGCCTGTTCCTTTGGGGCCTGCAGTACCGGCAGATGTGTGCCCTGGCCTGTCTGTGTATACCCTGTAGGTGCAAGTGTGCAGATGTGTACCTCTGAGGCACTCCCCATGTTTACTATAGGACCCTCCACTTTCTTCCCCGTTGCAAGATCTGGGCTCTTGGAGAGTTGTTTCCACTAAAACTTCGGCACAGCCTGGTAGGATCTCTCCATAAATGTGTCATGTGACTGTCAGAATGCCCCCTTCTTTCCCATTGGCAGCAGATTAACTGAAGACCTGCTGGTGCTCAGGAGGAGACCCAGGGGGATCCAGAAGGCTGGGCAGAAAGAAGACACCTCCCCCAGACCAGATTGGCCTAGAGAAGTGGGCAGGCCTAGGCAGGGGGACCAGCAAAACATTTCTTTGCAGAGCAGCAGCCCCGGGGCCAGGCAGCAGGCCCTGGGCCCAGCCCTGCTTTGCAGCACTCAGCATCAGGAGCTTTGCTGCAGAAGTGCTCCAGGACATTGCGGCTCTTGGCAGCCTCCTCTCCAGAGTGATGTCATGGGACACATTTAGCCTGGCCTCCTGCAGGATGTTGCATCCACTTGCTCTTCCTACAGATGTCTCTGCTGTTTGTGAATATTTTAATTAAAAAACCTGTGCTGGAGCTGTGACAGATTTAAAGCTCAGCTGAGTATTTTTCTGTTTTCCTCTAGCATGGCTTGGTCTCCCTGAGGAACAGGGGAAGGCCCTGGGCCTGCCTATGGGATATCTCTTTTCTAGCCCTGTTTCCAAAACTGGCCAAGGAGACTTGTTCTTTCCTATCCTGGGTTCCAGAGATCTCCTTCCCACTCTGTGGGTCTCCTGACGACTATCCATGGACCCAGGCAGTTGTGACTCTGAGGTCCCTAGACTGTGTGGATGGCCATAGTAGCCACAGGAGAGAACCCAGGGCCCAGAGATGCCTGGGTTGAAGGGCCCTTGGACTTCTCTCTCAGTCAGCAAGGTCAGCAACCATAGTGGCCAGCTCTGTCCACACCTGTCTCCTCCCAGATCAGCACCTTGGAGAGAGCAGGCAGGCAGGATCCTTATTATGCTTTCAGCCCTGGCATAGGGTCTGGCCCAGAGAAAGCAGAACATTATCCCATTCAACACAGCAGATGAATGAAGTCTAGAGAGGAGAGCATCTGCCTGAAGTCACACAGCATTCTGGTCTCCAGACTCACATTCAGTTGTTCTCTCATTCCCTCATTCAGCTAATGTCTATTAATATGTGCTTAGCCCCCTGCTGGACACTGGAGCCAGGTGGGGGTAGCTAGGAAGCAGTGGTGACAATAGTCCATGGTGGTGATTTTGATGACACATATTTGGTCCTAGCCTAACTGAGGGAAGACCTCCTGGAGAAGGAGATATTCGAGCTGAGCCTTAAATCTTACCAGGCTTCAAAGTGGGGCAAAAGACACCACTTCCAGGACCAGCTCTGATTCTGTCATGCTGTGTATCCCTGGGCAAGCTTCTGTCCCTCTCTGTGTTCATGGCTAAGGAGGCACTGATCTAGAGGCTTCTGGGTATCAAGCCATGACTCTGCTATCCCTTTATCATCATAAGCAGCCACTCTTTGGTCTGTGAAGCCCAGACCCCACTGGACACATCCACCCTGTGTCCAGCCTGTAGTGGCCCTAACAGCCAGCCAAGAATTGGCTCAGCCACTCTGCACTCAGGCTGTCCTGCAGTTAGGCCATCTGGGCCATGCTTCTCTGAGAGTGGTGGGCCCTCTGTCATTTGAGCTTTCTAACAGTTTTGAATACTCCCTATGTTTTGATAGTTTCCCATATTGTAAGTACCTCCTTCCCAAGGTAGAATCCAGAAAATTTTCTTTTCCAGCCTTCCTTGCAGGGAGAGACAGATGAGTGACTTAGACCTTGCCAATGAGTGACACCCTTGTGAACCTTTGAGTCGAAAGCCAGCAATGAGCAGGAGAAAGTCCTGCATGCGGGCCCCATCCTGATGGCACAGGCTGGGAGCAGGAGCAATGGAGAGTGGATAGTTGGGGAGTGGTTCTTGGAAGCCAACATATGACCTTCTTTCTTGAGCCCTCCCAGCCACGGTGTGAGCTACCTAACATTATTTAATATGCCCCTTTTCTGCTTAAAATAGCATGAATTTTGTTTTTTGCAACCAAGCACTCAGATGGACCCACTCGCTGTCCCACTGCTAAGGGGGTTTCCAGCCCTCTAGTAGGTGTGGATGTGGGCTCTAGGGGCTGAGCACATAGCCCGATGCACCCCCATCCCATCACTACATCCCTAGGAGATAGAAGCTCTGGCTGGTGAGCCTCAGTGAGCTGAGCCAGACCTTTGTCCCTCTACTCTGACAACCACAAGTTGGGAGAGCTGAGTCAAGAACTTGAAACCCTATGCAGAGCATAGGCTTTGAACGTATGGGAAAATGGTTGGAGAGCTGCAAACAATGGTCAACCTGTGTCTTTTATTTCACAGAAGTGTTTTTTTCTCCCAGATTAATAAAATTGCTCAATGTAGAAATGTTGGAAAATACAGAAAAGTATAAACTAAAATCATTTGTAATCTCATTCCTGAGGACAACGACCAATGCAATTTTATGTATTTCTAACAATAACAAATATTTATATAGTGCTTAGTGTATGCCAGGCATTATTTCTAAACATTTTACCTATGTGTTATGGACTAAATTATGTCCCCCACTGCCACAATCATATTTTGAAGCCCTAACCCTTAATGTGACTGTATTTAGAGATAGGGCCTGTGAGGAGGTAATTAAGATGAAATGAGGTCAGAAGGGTAGAGTCCTAATTGAACAGAACTGGTGTCCTTAGCAGAAGAGGAAGAGACATACAGAGAAAAGGCCCTGTAAGGCAGCCATCTGCAAGCCAAGGAGAGAGGCCTCACTAGAAACCAACCCTACAGATTAATTAGATTAATACAATATGTTAATTCATTTAATCATTACATCTACCCTGTCTTTTCCTCAAGCATACCACAGTTCAATAAATATTTGTTAAATGGGTGAATGATGGATACAGTTTATTCAGTACTATATGCTACTTCTTTAAAACCTGGGGTATTTTCCCATGTTACTACCTCTCCACTTAAAAAAAAAATGGATACATGATAGTCACTCATGCTCTCATTCAGTTAACATGTATATGTTGAGTCTGCACAATGTGCAAAGCATTGTGTAGGTAGGGACTAGGGTTGTAGCAGTGGACAAACAAGCCATCCCTGCCTGGGTGGGGTATACTTGCTCTATGGACATGCCACTGCCCAGCTGTCAGACACAAAGTAACCCACTTGTTTGGGAAGGTTTCTTTTGATTGAAAATTCTCTGATGAGCCAATTAGCCTGACACAAGCAATGGGACTCTTTTCTTTTAAAAAGGCCAGTTAAATTACCAGAGGCTCCTGGGGCATCCCAGAACCATAGAATGACACAGAGGGACCCCTTGGGATTCAGCCGGAGGCCACAGCACTGTGAGTCAGGGCTGGTCAAACCACTAGGACTGGTCTGTAAAGAGACACCACCACATAGGTCTCCTGTTCACACAGGCCCAGGGTTTGATGGGAAATAAACCACATTTTTAAGATTTTGAAAGGAAGCAAACAAAAAACTTGGAGAAAAGACAGATGAATGTTTATACCACTTCTGGGGGTAGGGAAAATCTTTTTAAGTACAACAGGAGAGAGAAACCACAAAGGAAAAGACTGGTAGATTTGAAGATCTGACTACATGTAAAATTTAAATGTCTGCATATTAAAAATCACCATTTAAAAAATCTAAAAGATAAATAGATAACTTGCCAAAAATATTGATAGTATACCACCTTCAAAAGAAACAAAGGTTTGACGTGAAACCCAAATCAAAAAGAAAAAAGGCAAATAAGTAAAGGACATGAAGGGCAAGTCAAGGAAGAAGAAATGCAGCCCTTCCCTGCCTAGCTGCCCCCCTGGGCGAAATGTGAAGCTGCTGCCTGAATGTCACTACCCATTTTTCTGTCCCCTTCTTCCAAAGACTGTGGTGGGGTCCCCTCTTGCAGCCATGTCACAGGGGTGCTGATCCCTGTGAGAGGAGGGAGGACCCACCTCACTCACCTGGAAGCCCCTTTCCGTCACTGTTCCCATCCACCCGGGATCCAGACCCTTTCCCTGGTGGCCACTAGGCTGCTTGGCCCACTGGCCAGGCCAGATGATCTCAACAATTAAAGCAGGGTAGAGACCAAGAAAATGTGTGAGGGGCTGACATCCTGCCAACCGTTTTTAAAAGGCAGTTTGGCAACATGTATCACAAACCAAAAAAATTCTCAACTTGGACGACCACCAGTGGGTTTGCTTAGGAATGAATACAAAGGGGACCAGAAAAGGAGCAATTTTTTGGCAAGGACTGCTGCTGCAGTATGATTACAATAGCGCCCCAAAGTTGGGAACTCCCCAAATGTCCAATCACAAAGCCAGATGCATTTCTGTATATCTGTAAGGAGGTACGCTCTGCTGCCTGTAAAATGATGATGGCACAAAAGACGGCCCCATGACCCAGAGAGATGGTCACGGCAGGCAGCCAAGTCAAAAATGCAGGTTGTATATCCAGTAGGATTCCAGTTATGCTTAAAAGCATTTATATATTTGTGGGAAAAAAACTGGAAGAAAGGTTAATAGTGATTATCGCTGAGTGATGGGATTATAAGGTGATTTACTTCTTTGAATTTATTTGTATTTTCCCAATTTTCTGGAGTGAATACAATGCAACAAGGAAAAATCTACTATAAGACGGAGCTGCTTCCAGAGCCTTCTCTTGCTTCAGAAAGGGCTGGGGTGCTGGGGAGGGAGAAGCAGGTCAGGGGAAGATCATTGGGGGAATCAGAATGGTGCCCTCCCATGTGGCACGAACGGCAGCGCAAGAGTAGAGGGTGAACGTTATTGGTCTGTTCATCTGCTGGGCTCTCCCCAGCCCCCTTCTCTGGTGGCCATTAAAAGTCCACATCGATCTGGGGCTGGGGAGGGAGGGTAGGGCTGGAGGTGGCCATGAACACCTTCAGAGTGACTCATGCCAGCTCAGGAAGATGTTACAGCGGAAAGGGAGGGGGCAGAGCCAGCCCCTTTTAAGGTGGTGGAAGGAGGAGCTCTGAAGTAGGCACCAAGTGCCAGGGAAACCAAAGGGAAGAGATTTTCCAGAAGAGGATGGTGCATTTCTTGGAGGCAGGCAGGATGCTTTCCATTCAGAGCTCATTACAGGGAGTCAAAAAATCAATTCCTAAGACACTGCCCATGTGGGCTCAGACCCAAAGAAAATATAATAAAAACAGCCTTCTGGGAGGGTACCTGCAGGCCCAGGAGAGACACAAAACAGCCCAAAGCACTTCAGAGGTGGAAGAAGCCCACTGGCCAGAGATCTGCTAGAGGTCCCCAGGGACCTGCCATGAGAAAGAAGCCCAAGCACAGTAGGTGGTCCCCCAGAAAGCTCTGCTGGGTGGGGCCCCAAGACATCTGAGCCAATGGCCATGTCCTCCCTGGTCCTCAAGAGCCCCAGGGAGGGCAGCACTTGCTCAGGCTCACTCAGAATGAAGACAGACACCAAACCCAAGGCAGGATCAGGCGTTCTGACTCCCAGCCTAACGTCCCATTTATTATTTCCTAGGGAGATTT